AAATATTTTGTAGTGCATTCAGCACTTTTTATTGGATGCACCTTAACTCTTAAAAATATCCTCTATCTATGAATTACTAAATAACCAGAAACAATTATTACCATAAAACATTGGGAAAAGTAATATTTTGGTTTAATGTACAGATTTGTTCCGAAAGTTTTGATTTACAAACACTAAGTATCTAGAATTTTTTTTATAAGCAAATTTGTCTTGAAAATTTAAAATCATAATAATATTGTCTTTTACCATTAAAATAATAACGTTAATCGTTAATATTTTTAACGATAGATGACAATATTGTTATGATTTTAAATGTTTGGAGCAAATTAACTTCCAAAAATTTTTTTGGATACCCAATGCTCCTAAATGAAATCATTCAAAGCAAATTTACACCTTAACCTTAAATCTTTTAGTCTTCAACTTTTAACTAACTTAAGGAGAATCATCATAAGATTCCAAGAAAGAAATTTAATTGGTAAAAAAAAATCTTAATAACAAGTGACTAGCTTGAGCTTGTTACGTTGTCTTCCTTACTTTGGGATTTATTATTGTATGCTCTTTAATTATCAATAGACTTTAGGATAATTAAATCCCTTCTTCGAACCTGATTGTAATTCTCCTATTAGCTCATGACTTATTCCTTTAACTATGACTCGTTATAATTCAACCTTTGAATTTTTAACTTGCATATAACTCAGTCACTTACCTTGTCAACTTCTTATTCTATTACCCTTGTATCTATAAAGCTTAGTCATATGTGGCAAAAATGTCTTCCAACTATGTTCTTTTTTATAAGCAACCTTAGACTTCATCATTTAAATAAAAAAGTTAGTTAAAGACAATAAATGAGTAGAATTTAGAATTTTTTTCCAAAATATCTTTTATGTATAGGATAAAAAGTATAAGAAACAGAATAAAAAAATTATTATATTAGAAAAATTACAAAAAAAGAGAGAATATGTGATGAAGAGAGACAATGATTTGAGAAATGAGATAATAAACATATTAAGTATTAAGATAAATAATTAATGTGGGTAAAATAGAAAATTTACCATAAAAATTTAAGATAAGTTATAAATTGTACTTATATTTAGGGATAAGATGATGATGATAGTTGTTGTTTATTTAAAAAAAAACAGACGCGCAGAGTAAAATTTATATTAAAAAAAAAAAAAAACAGAGAGAGGAGGTGGCTTTCGCGAGGAAGAGTCCTTGGACTGGTTGAATCCGCCCGAATAAAAATATGCATGATCACTGGATAGCGATGCATAGCGTATCGAGTCACAAGTGTGATCCTTTGTTTATATATCCTGCGAACGAGTGGAGAAACACCCAAAACTTGATCCCACCACGCGCTGACATCCACACCAAAATCTAGTATCGAAGTCCAACACCACACAATACACAATAATTTTATCAGATTCTTCAGGTTTCAGAAGAAAGACAGAGAGAAAGTTAATACTCCTCTTGTCCTTGATATTATATATAATTAATTAATTTAAATAAATTAAGGATGTTAGTTAAATTAGTTAATATGATATATTTTTTCTAAAACATCTAAATCATTTTTCTTAATTCCCTCCTTCTCTTACACTTGATTATTATTAAAAGAATATCAATACGGTTAATTTGACAAAAAAATTGATAAACATATGAAATAAATCTTACATATAAGATTAACATCCTATATTAAAGACAGTAAGGTCCCGTTTGGTACGAAATATTGAAAATGAGGGATTAAGATTATGATTGCAATTGGAAAAAAATCATTAAAATAATATTTAGCATGAGTAATTGCTTATTATATGGGATTAAGTAAACCCATAGAGTAGGATTGAGAAATACCACTTCCCCCCATAGTATTTTCCAATCCCACATACATGGGTTTGGCTAATCCTATATAACAAATAATCTCTTATACTAAATATTCTTTTAATAGATTTTCTCAATTGTAATCTCAATCTCAATCTCTTATTTTCAATACTTTCTACCAAACATAACCTAGGAGTACTTTTTTTTTTTATGTGGATTTACAATCAATAACATCAAAGAGATCCAGAGCCTTAGAAATAGAAGCCATGGCTTGGATCTTGGATCTGTATCTTTATAAGGCATGTTTGTATCCTCTACCAAGGCTTTACCTTCCAGCCTCTTTTCTCTCTGATACTCCTCACGGCCTTACTTGCAGAATCCAGAAGGATCTCAAGCTCTCTCTCTTACTATTTGGGTAGTTTCAATCAGAGCTCCGACCCTTTTTCAAAAATTTTATTTTTTTAAAAAAGAAAAACCATGTAGAGTGCTGAGTTGGAAGCCATTTTTGCCACAAAGAACTGAGTTATGGATACGAGGATACTAATATAAAAGGTTGATGAGATAAGCAGAGTCGCAAGAGAGCTAAAAATTTAAAAATTGAATCACACATAGTAATAATTAAAAGATTAAGTTATAAATAAATTAAATATTAAAGAACTAAAAAATTAATTTTTTTCTAAATACACATCTTTTGTCTCAGAGTTAAGGTATGTCCAAATTTTGGAGTATTTTGTCAAATACGTCCAGCACCCTAAAATATTTTGTGATATGTCTAGTATTTTGAAATATTTTTTCTAGATACATTCAGTATCTTAAAATATTTTGAAGAATCATAAAAAATTAAAAATTGAACTATTTTTCCAAAAATGAGAGGAAGTTGACAGGGGCATAGCGGACACCCCCAGCCCATTTCTACTGATCAATATGCAAATGATCTGTCTCATGAAATACTAACAAGAATTTCTATAAGTGAGGGTGTTTGGAAAACGCCAAATTTTAAAACAAATATTTTTATGTAAATTGATAAAAATTATTTAAAAAAAAACCTAGTCGAAGCACCCCGTACAGAGAGAGAGAGTGCGCGCGCTGGAAACAGAATGTGTGCCTGTGCATGTAACGCGGTAGAACGTATTATTGGCTACCCCTGCGGTTGATGTGACGGATGGAGATGGAAAAGGGCCAGCGTGAAAATTTACTTTAGCCAAAAATATAACGACAGAATATAATTCCAAGTACAGTGAAATTTGCATACGTAAGTATAAAATACTATTTTAAATATAAAAAAATTACTTCCTTGGTCTTAAATGTGTAAGATTAATAACTAATTTATAAAAATTAATAAAATTATTTAAGTTAATTACTAATAAAAATTTATATTTGTTTTCTAAAATGTTCTTATTAATTATTTATATGTATGTTATTCACAGAAAAAGTTTAGGAAAAATTATAAATTTAGGAGACAGAATTAATCGTTGTACTATGTTTGAATCAAAATAATGGAAGGATTAGAAAAATTATATATTTTTATCAGTTATAAACAATATAGTTTAATTTTTAGATTATGTAACGCATAGCCACACTAGTTTATTATGTAAATTGTCCAAAAGCTTTACGTCAAAGTGTAATTTTGGTGTTTTAACTTTACATAAAATTTAAATTTATTTATTTAATTTTATAAAATATTCTTTCAGTCATTTAATCCATCTGATTAACAGGAAATATCTATAAATCCAAATCAATCCGCCTTTGTAATGAAAGATTCGACATCTCTTAAATAAAACCTCAAATTTGAACATTATAAATTTGAAAATTAAATTGCACTAGTTTTTTTGTATAATTAGAGACTGACGAGATCATTTAAATATACCAATTAAACTGTTAGTATCATATAATACCTCCGATGATTAATATAAAAATCCATTTGATTTTTATTTTAGTTCTAAATATAAGATCCCAATTCATTTTATCTCTCATATTTATCTATTTTTTTAAGATAGTTCTTATAATAATAATAGTTATAACCAATACACACTTGATTAGCAAGGATATTTTAAAAAAAATAACATTTATTTATTATAAATAACTAACTTATCTAATTTTTTTAATATATTTAAACTAGTTAACTAGCTATTATATTAAGTATAGGAAGCAAGAAAAAAAATAAGTGATAAAAAAAATACTCCTACTATCCTTAATTAAGGTAGCACGTTATTGGAGGGTTGATCTTAATTCTAAATGTAACATTTATCTTTCATATTTATTATTTTCTCCCAAAACAACAACTATTAATACTCCCTCTACAAGGTGATGAATTCTTCTTTCATTTCCAACAATAGTTGAAGCGAAAGATCATCCAAAATAATGCCATTTTAGGATACATGTGTTATATTTATTATAATTAATTAAATTAACTAATTTTTTAGTCTAATCAAATTAATTAAATAGGTCATTTATTAAAAATCAGAAGATTTTTTGGTCATTACTTGATTTGGAATACTAGCTGCTAAATTACTCAGCTCTCACCATCAAGTCAAACTATGAAACGATAAAAAATGATGGTTAAAATTACATAAGTAAGAAGTATTGCAAAAACTTTCAGTCGTAGATATTATTATGAGCTACTAAAGATTGTACTTCTCTGATCCTAAATATAAGATTCTTATACTAATATATAATAGTGTTATATTTATGATCAAAAGAGTAAATAATTGCTAAAAACCATTATGCATTGAGTCTAACAAAAAGAGTTAGTCCTTTATAACATAACAAACCAAAACGGATAAGAGAGATATCCACATTTAATGATCGACGGTGTTCGAAACAACATTAAATCCAATAAGAGAATATTTGTGCCTAGAAAAGAAAGAATTGTTAAAAAGTTTTGATGACAAGTGACAATTTGAAATTTGTTATCATTTTTTACTTTAAAACTTATCATTACATTCCGTTAGGTTGTTAATGAAACTTTTTTATACTTGCTCTAATTCTCCCCCAGAAAATTACAGCCACTACTATTCACTCCTCCATTGATTGAGCAGCATAAATCCAAAAGAAGACAGCTGGCATGGTACGTACCGCCATGAGTTTTCTTCACACTTCACAGCATAGTGGAGACCACTCTTACAGTTTCACTTTAATATTACTTCATCTCCTCCTTCAATCTTCAGTAACTCTCTGAGATACCAACCATGGCTTCTTCAAGCTTCAGCTTCACAGAGCACTGGCTTCTGGTGGCTGCCTCGGCGCTCATCTGTGGATCCGTCACCTACATTATCTACGACGCCGTCATGGCCACCGCCTCCGAGCTGCTTCAACGCCTTCTCATGATCTCGCCGCTGCTGCTGATCATTGTCGTTCACTGCCTCTCCTCAGGTACTCAGCTCAACTTTCCCATGCCGGGATCTGAACCCGCGGCCATCCACCGTGCCGGAGGCTCCCCCTGGGGCGTCGCCTTCGTCCTTCTTATTCTCTTCGTCCTTATCTCCTACCAGCCCTCATTTCTCAGCCTCGTTTCCTAGCTCTCTTTCTCTACCTTGCATGTTTTCATGTGCTCCTGTACATTCAGTGTTCATGTCGCTGTAAAAAATTATAATTATGGACTGTATCTATAAATTTTTAGATTTTTAGAAGTCATAGAGGCGATATAACTATTAATGGCCATGGAGACTTTTATATTGATGGTTATGAAAATCGTAGTTAATTATTTTACCACGAGAGTCCTCCCAATGATTCCGATAATGAGGGCTTCAGCCTTAAGCTGAAATTTATTTTATTATTTTTTCACTTAGACAATTGGTTAGCAATCCCCAAATTAAGGGCTCATTTGGTTGGCGTTTATAAGTACTTATAAATACGTTTTATGTAAATTAAAACAAAACTTATTTTATTTCGTATTTTATAAATTACGATTAAAAAGTTATTTACAACTTAATCTTTTTAGAAGTGGGTTGGAATCCTTCGTTCAAGAAGACCCCTTATCACTCATAAGGCAACCACATTAGTAATCCTAATATAGTTTTTCTTTGGCCAAAACAAGTAATGTGGCTTTTGGGGATCAGCTTTTTCTTTTGTTTGTTTGTTTTTTTTTCCGGCCAGACGGGGATCAGCCTTTAGCTCAACACTCTAAACAGCGGTACGTGGTTATGAGTTTGAAGCTTCTATAATAACCAGAAGTGGATATTTGATCTTTTAACTTCACATATAAAATTTTATTTTAGTCCTTTAATTTTACTATTTTTTACTATTAATATAAGAGCTAGTTGGAGAGTTGAATTTATCCCTAAAAAAATCTCAATCTATTTGTCCCCTATACTTATCACTATTTTTTTTTTATAATATCCCTATTAATTACACATGTTAAAAGAATTTGCATTAAAAGGTAGTCTGAATACAAATGATTTAAAAGGTTGTTTTGGGAAAACCAAATTTTTGACAAATAAGTCAACCCTAACATCATTAATTTGATTAAGAAAAATACTTATATTAAAAATTTAATTATTGACAAAACATTATCATGACATATTAAGTTTAAACATTTTGTAAGAGAAAAGGAGCAATGATTGGTACAAAAAAATTATAAAAAGATTAAGGTGTTAGGAATGGAAAACTGAAAAAAATAAGCACTCCAAAATGCTAGCATCTAACTATCACGTGACTTAAAGAAGTCAGTTAAAATTAGCGCAAGATAATAAATATATAAAATAAATGTAACTTATTATTTTAAAATATCCTTATTTATGGGAAGGATAAGTGAAAGAGAAAAAGAGCAGAAAAAGAGACGGAGAGAAAAAGTGAAAAAAATATATGAGAAAAATATATAATTAATATAATTAGGGGTAAAAAAAAAAGAAACAAATGCATGTATTAAATGAAATCAAGCCCAGCCCCTTCAAAGATTTGGTGTTTATGGTTTAAACCAAAGGGAGTACTTTATAAAATTAAGGAATCAAATTAAGACATTTTATAAAGCTAGAGAAGCAAAGATATATTTTTCCTGTATAATAAATGTGCATGCGTTTATATATATTACTATATTCGATCCAGCTAGATTATTAATTTGGAGATATTATAAAAATTAACTCAATTAGTTATTTGTAATAAATATGATTTGGCTTCCATAAACTACCCTATTTATAATTAATAAGAATATTTTTAAAAAAATTATAAATTTAGAATACAATTCAATTTAGATCTTATATTATATCTCGCAACAAAGAAATATCAAGGTAGTGCAAATGATGTCAAGGCTATCAATGTGTAGTGATAGCCCTACAATGCCCCATGGGCGGATCCCAAATTCATGGTGTTGGACATTGAAGTATTGTTTTTATGTCCAAAGTGGCATCGAAAATCCCCTAAAAATAAGAACATTGAGTTGTTAACTGTTTGTTATAATTTTTTGAGTTAATACTGTTGTTCGTCCTTATAATTTCGTTTAATTTGGTTTTGCTTTCTATAGTTTCAAATTGTTAATTTTGATCCCTATCATTTTATAATTTTTTTGTTTGAGTTTAACAAATGGCCCCTATACTTTTAATTAATGGTTTTGGTTTTTATTTCTATAGTTAAACTCAAACCAAGTTCTTATTAAATTATAAGGGCCAAAAGCAATGATGTAAAATTACAGTGGGGGAAATTAAAATTAGATCAAATTGTACCAAGCAACAATCATATTATACTTTTTGCTTTCGGGAAAAAGTGTCTTTCTTATGCTTGCCATCATTTCTCTTCAATTAATTGCCCTTTTTTGTGACAATTATAGAATTGGAAGTTACTTCTTTCACATATGATCTAATGCGAGCCAACGCAGAAAGCATATACGGAGATCTATTGGGACCATCATGACAGACGCATCCTAAATAGATTTTAGAATATTATTTGCAAAATGGACATTCATTAGGGCTTGTTCACACTTGTATAACCGTTATCTCAAAATCTTAATTTTTTTTTTGTATTATGCATTTTTATATTTAAGAACAGTGGCAACAAATTACGACTTTATTTAAAATTCACATCCCATTTTCATATTTTAACATCTTTTTTTTTTCATCTTTACCTAAATTAATCATATGCATTTTTATTGGATAAACATAAAGGATCTAAATTGATGTTTGAACCAACGACTCCATGTGCTTAGCTCAAAAAGATGCTGTCTCTGAAGATATAAATAATTGAAAGAAAGCGACGTCGGTGAATGTATCATGTCAGACTCAGTGCTCATGTAATTCAATAATGAGTTTGAGTTATACTGAGAACAATTCATAGGACAAATTTTATATTCAATTGTTTGTATTTATAAGGGTTAAATGACATTTCTGCCCCCTAAAAATTTTCCTAAAAGAGCTGTGAATAATCGAAGACATTTTTTGTGCAATTTTTTCCCAAACGTAGTAAAAACATAACAATTTTGCCTATCCAAACGGGCCCAAATAGTCAACATTAGTTGACCATGTTAAAAAAGCATTTTTGCCTCGTGGGTTTTTAAAAAAGAGTTACGATTATCCGAAAGTTTTTTGTGTGCAATTTTATCCTGAAAATAGTAAAAAGGGTAGTAATTTCACTTCATCCTAAATTATCACCTGAACCTTGTATAATATATCCATTTAGAGGTTAACTAAATTGGTTTGAGAGAAAATAATAAATATTAAAAGTAAAGTGGATACAAATCTCATATTTAGAACCAAATATAATTTTGAACTAATTCTTATATTAAGAATAAGGAGTATGCATCCATATTTTTATTTATTTATTTATCAGAGATGTAATATTTTTCAATTTTATTTATTATATAAAAACTAGACATACATTTATTTTACATTTTGTTTTGAGCTTTTGAAATGATTGCTCAAGTAAATAATAACTCATTAAAAAAGTACTGCGTATAATTTTTTTAATATTTTATGTTGATATAGTCTCTTACCATTTTTTGTAATATTTATCAACCAAAGGGTTAAAGATATTTCTGGTTTGATTTGATTTTTTTTTTTTTGAATGTTCATGGATGCTGATGATGATGAAGGTAAAAAGCTTTATTTTTTCCAGGTTTATTTTTTTGCCTACATATTTAGTAATTATTGATTTGACTTTATGGTTATTTTTGTTGATTGTTCATGTTTTCATGAACACCGATAATGATGACGATAAAAGGAAAAAAAAGGTTTCTGTTGGTTTTTTTTTTTTTTTTCAGTGTGACGATGATGTGGTGTCTTACGATAAGATAATATATCAACATAAAATATTTAAAAAAATTATACGTAGTACCTTTTTGATAAATTATTTACTCAGGTGATCATTTCAAAAACCCCATACAACATGTAAAATAAATGTATGTCTAGTTTGTATATTAAAAATAAAATTGAAAAGTATTATATCTATGATAAAAAAAAGTTAATAAAAATACAAATAAATACTCTTTATCTTTAATATAAGAGTTGGTTGAGTTAGATTTGATCCCTTTTTTTTAAGCAAAAAGGTTAGATTTGATCCTAAATATGATATTTTAGTCCACTTTGCTTCTCATATTTATCATTTTCTCTCAAACTAAGCTGCTTAACTTATAAGTTGATATATTATATAAGACTCAAATGACAATTTTAAGTAGGGTGAAATTGTCACATTTTTACTACTTCTGAAACAAAATTGCACCTAAAAAAAAATTTCAGATACCCATAGCTCATTTTTGAAAATTTTTGGGGCAAAAAATGCTTTTTAACTCAATCAATCTTAGTTGACCATTTGAGTCTATTAGGACAGGGTAAAATTGCTACGTTTTTACTACTTTTAGAACAAAATTACACCCAAAAAAACTTTCAAATATCTATAGCTCCTTTTTGAAAACTTTAAGAACAAAAATGCTGTTTAACCCTATTTGTAAAGTCAAGGTTATAGATGAATTTATAAATGTACATATGCATGTTAACAATTAAGCATGACAAAATAACAAATGTCCATGTTTCACAGATGATCTTATAAAAGTGCACATACATATTTTAATAACTACTAATAGCAAAATAACAAGTATTCATATAAAAATTTATATACTACATCTGGTTCTGATTATAAGAGCTAGTTAACTAATTTAAGGAGATTAAAGAAAAAAATTAAGTTAGTTATTTGTAATAAATAGGTGTTATCTTTCCTAAAATCCTTGCTAATCAAGTATATTGGCTAGAACTACTATTGTTGGAACGACTACCTTTGAAAAAAATATATGAATATGAGAGACAAAGTGAATTGAGGTCTTATATTTAGGACCAAAATAAAAGTTAAACAAGATCTTATATTAAGGATTGAAGGTAGTATATCCTAACTTTTTTTTTTTTACCAGCGGTAGTATATCCAAACTTACATTATAAGAGGATATATGAAATTTTATAAGTGTTCACAGATGAATTTATAAATGCAAATACTTATTTTAACAACTAACAACAATAAATAACAAATATGATCAGAGAACTTGATCCAATTAATGAATATAAATAATTTGATCTAAATTTTGTGCCAATTTATATCATGCTATCTATTTTTTTTAACATTAATGACATTGCAGAGCTATTATATTCTTACTATTATTATTACTCCTTTCATTTCT